GGAGGTTCACTTGTTGACTTAGAATATGCTGATGACATAGTTTTATTTGGTGAAGACGCTGACAAAATGCAGAGTCTTCTGACCACTCTAAGCAACAATGCAAGCATGTTCGGGATGCGATTCTCCCCCTCGAAATGCAAAATGTTGCTTCAGGATTGGGTTGCATCGACACCCGAACTAATGATAGGGAGTGAAGTAGTTGAGCGTGTCGATCGCTTCACTTATCTTGGAAGTCTCATCAGCCCTTGTGGTCTGGTGTGTGACGAAATCTCAGCACGGATACAGAAGGCTCGACTAGCTTTTGCCAACTTGCGTCATTTATGGCGTAGGCGAGATATCCGTCTATCAACCAAAGGACGGTTTACTGCGCAGCAGTTCGTTCCGTCCTACTTTATGGCAGTGAAACATGGCCGGTAAGAGTAGAGGATATCCGTAGGTTACTAGTATTTGATCATAGGTGTCTTCGAAACATTGCTCGTATATCATGGGACCATCGAGTAAGTAACGCAGTTGTTAGGAAACGGGTACTAGGTAAGGATGGCAAATCAATTGATGAAGTAGTGAAACTTCATCAGTTGAGATGGCTGGGATACGTGTCACTTATGCCCAACCACCGACTGCCTCGATGTGTGGTGTTTTGTTGTAAAGGAGTAGATTGGAAGGAAGCTAGGGTTGGCCAGACCAAAACATGGCACAAGTTCATGAGGTCACTGACAAGTGGACTGAGCCATGTTCGTAGGTGTAGACTACCTGGTTGGGGTCTGAGAGACGATAGCAACCGATGGTTAGAGACCCTGAATGACATGGCTCAAAATCGTCTCTACAGTGCAGGTGCATCCACTCTTTGTGTTCTCCCAAATTCTAATCTTCTGAATTTGTCATGTCCCTTTTCTTTTCTTCTTTCCAAATTTGTTTCATTGGATTATACTCCTTGAATAACATCTTCAAACCCTAATTTTTCTGATTACAGCCTATAATTTTACTACATCTAGCACTACGGGATTCGAATCGACAACTGCATCTCTGTGCTGATGTGGTAATGACAACTCGAACTGATGTACATACGTACGAAGTTCTACGTTGTTGCTGACTGACTTACGTCTTTAGTATCTCCCAGTATGTTTATTATCAGTGTTTTCATTCGAATGTTGAATTAATCTTTTACAATCTAATCAGATCGTAACAAATTTCACTCTATTATTTGACATAACTTAATAGTACATAATTTAAAACCTGGACACTAAAACCACCATATAAATTTTCGGTATGACTAAAATACTCTATCTCTACAGCAATAAGTTCAAAGTAGATCGTAATTGTTTTCAAAGCTCTGAAATATTAGGTCTTTCTTTCAGTTTATTGACAAAATAAGAGAAGATTTATTATTTATTCGACTTTTTACATCACATGAGGGTGATCGGTTGTTTGCTCCTCTATTTATTTAAAACCATGTGATATTCTTCAGATGTTAACTTTCCTCTTTACACATAAGTGAATCATTAATTGGGTCTATGAACTACTTTCTCATGTTCCTTGTGGTCAGTGTTGTCAATCCAAAGTTGAGTAATCCCTACTCGCATAGAATAAAATTTAGTTGCGTAACTTCTGTACAGACACTTACCTAAACACTTATCACACATAAAGGTACAAAATCGATTGTTTGTTTTTACAAGGCAAAATACTAGCTAAAATCAGAAACCACTCCGCTTGTCGATAAGTTTAGTGACGATATTCAAAATGTTCACTTCTGTATCTTTATCTCGAAATAAATATAAGGGTCATGAAATAACAAGTTATTAAATTTAATTTTTCTCTGTCTACAACTTTACATAAGCTTCCTAGTTTAGATTGTACATAATGTTTTAGCCTTCGTTTCAAAGAAAATAAGACCGTTACTAGAATTTTGACATCCTTTATTTAATAACAAAGACGACTGTATAGCTTCAGTAGATGATAACCTGAAAAAGAATAGTTTTCTCATGGTAGTTTGAACGGTTTTCGATCAATGATTTAATGATTTCCGTATTTTTTTGAAAATATGATATGCATTTGGATTTTAATTCAGTAATGACAACGATAGACTAACGATAACTATTTTTCACATTTATTCTATATAACATTAAAGGGCATGTGTCATTTTAATTTTTCGGCTTTAATAAAACGTGATGAAATTTCTTCCACTTTTATTGGATATGAAAGGGACTGGAATCTACAATATATCTGAAGTTTTCTAGATAAACTACTCTAGTATACAGATGAACCTCTTAAAAATTAGGCTGGTTGCATCTCAAGCAATCAAAATTTTGTTCACTATTGTAGTGGAAAGAGAAAATACATTGTTTAGGATTTCAACAAGCACTATAATACCAGTACTAATTGAACACAAGTGTTACAGGGTACCTCTTCCTGAAGCGATACATGATAATAGCATACCTACTTGGTTTACCTCTGCTGTTTAAACTGTTATCCATGATGGTGATTGACATTTTTTATCTTGTCCTTACAGGAATCACTATAAATTTGAAAATTAAACCATTAAATTTATGACAGAATCAGTAAAGTTCAACTATATCATTCAAGTGTCAAATATTTGTAATACGCTTTGTGAGTAGTATGTAAGAAACAATAAATCACTTCTTAAAACCAGTCACATAATAAGTGAAGCTAATGTTTTATATACATAAACATATTGTTTGATGGAAATATGCGGTTTCAAAATTGCCTTGTATGTTTTGTAAAGACTGGATGAAAAATGTTGTGTTAGATTTCGACTCACTGGATAACTATATCGTACAACTCACATGATCCTTGAATCTTGAGTTTGTTATTGTGTGGATTGTCAAGACGCACACTTGAAGTGTTAAGCTAAGACTAGGAATCCTTGTTTTCTATTGTCTTCACTGATACCGTCAGTTTTTTCACGAAAGTTATCTTTGCATGTTTAAAATATTAATTTGCATGGGAAGTTTATATACTTTATTTATACTTGGCTTGTTTATTGATCATAATATTACTTACTGAAACATAGCTAAGAAAATTCTTTGGTGTAAATAACAAAGTTAGACTCGTATCTGATAATACTAGCTGTTTTTTGGCAAGTAAGGAAATCGAATAAATGTGTGATAAGCATCTAAACATGAATATCCAGTTTTATCGGTCCAACTATTACCATTTACTTAGTAATCTATGTATCAAATACCTCATTTTAGCATCAATTTGTATTAGGGTAGAATATGTACATATTATCAACAGTGTGGGTTTGCATTATCATACTCGTGATATTTTTTGTATTAATTATAACCGGTCTTTGTCAGCATACGTGCATCCTCGAATCCCTGTTTGAATACTAATATGTCGAGACGGTATGCGCAGAATGCAGAATGTGTCGACGGTGACTGATCAGCATTTGGTCGAAAACAACAGGATAATCCAAACCCTTTCTAACAGTGATATATGCCAGTAAGACAACTTGGTAGCTATCTGTAATCAGTATCTCAGCGTTCGAAGTGAAAGGTACCAGGTTTGAGTCCCGGTGTGGACATCAACACGTGTGAGCACATCCAGCTTGTAGTAATGTGGAGTTAAGTAATAGTTCAATGATTAGCATTCATTATTTATGCTGGATCAATATCAATATCATTTTATAATTGTGGATATTCTACACACTAATTTAATTCATTCATTTTAGCTTAGTTACTAATTGAGAAACTTATCATTATATGAGAATGAATTAGTAAAGTTTTAATTTGATACATTTTATAAAATTATTTTTAAGTCATCAATTTTTTCTTATAGTTTACGAAGTTATTTTTTAAAGTATAATCTGCTATTCTAGATTTAGTAAAGTATATTATGCTGAATAATAGATCCAAAGCTTAATTTCTTTGATGTTTATACTTTTTATTCTTAGATCTATGGAAATCTTGGAAAATATGCAAACAGATACTCTTTTATTTTACCTCAGTTAAATATTCAATTCTTGTTAAAATGAATTTTTATACTGATCTATTCATAGTATCATTATCAGTATAAATCAATAATTTTGAAATACATAACATCTTTTTGCTATAGAGATTCTACCTTGAATATAGATATGACCATATAGAGTTTATTGTTAATTCGAATGCCTAGTTTTCAATTGACTACGTGGTTACCCAACGTTTTTCCTTTTTTCATGATTACTATAAAGTTTTTCAACTTGACAAATGATTTTGATGACTGTTAAAATGAAGAAATTTGATAGTTTATATTCCATCTCATTACTTGCTCTCGATATACTTAACTTGTTAATGTTATTTGATGTCTTTTGTAAGTTCAATGATCTTTTAAGTGAAACTTTATATTCATTCAGTGCTTAGGTTTATCGACTAATATATGTACAACTCGTTGGACGAGGAATTATTTTCGCAACATCTTAACAAGAAGTACATATATGGATTCAAAATATTAGTATTTTGAAAATGATATAGAATGTTTCTCATTAAAAGACAGTTATACATCATATTAAGATATAGCTTATTGATGATGTTAATCAGATATATTCTATTACCGTTGTCATCATCCAGGACTGTCAAATATCCCGTAAGATTTAACAGGTGATTATTTTTACTGGTTGTAATGAACTATTTAAATGATTAAACCAAAACGTTAACAAACAAACTAAACCATTTTAATGATTACTATAAACAATCTAAAGTGCTTTTTCTTCACTTTGTCTAGTCAGTAAATTCTTATATTTGAAACTGAATTACATTTCATTACCTATAAAAAAAAAGAAATTAATTGAATTGCTTCGAAGTCTTGAAATTATGTGACTTGAAATTGATTGAGGAAACTGATAATTTTCGAACTTAATTATAAAAAGGATTTTAGATTATTTTTGATAATCAACTTAACATTAAAACATATATATATATATATATATATATATATATATATATATATATATATATATATATATATATATATATCATAACTGTTCTAACTCTTTTAATTTGTAGAGTTTACCAAATGATCATCAAAATGTACAATATTTAGAAGATGGTACAATTGAAGTCACTGATACATTATCAAAAGAAGAATATTACAAAAGTTTACGCCGTCGTTGTACTACAGGCAATAGTCAAAATACAAGACAATATGGATTATCTAGTCAATTGAGCCTGGAAACTTCTCAATGTGGTACATTACGTTCTGGATTTGGTAAACGTAAAGGTACATTGCATGATTTTAAACCGTCTGGAAAAGAAGAACTATGTTATATTCTCATGTTAGAAGGAGTAGAAAAAACATATACCATAGATGTAAGTTAGTTCATCCAAAAATTTGTTCTGCATTTTTTAAAATAATCGTTGTATTGTTTCAAGTTCATTTAGTTCTTGCACATTTATATAGATCTATAAAATATTATTACGGTTGATTCTACATTTCGCTAAACACCTTAATTGATTAGTACAAGTTTATCAAAAGATTCAGTTATGAATTGCTGGTTTTTTGAAAGTATTTCTCTACCTTTGAAGAAATTTGGAAATTTACTCATTTGTTTAACAGCATTTTACACCTTTTAACTTACTTACTTACTTACAAACGCTTGTTACTCCCAATGAAACATAGGCCACCGACCAGCATTTCCCAACCCATTACGCCCTGAGCCTTCTTTTCTAGTTCTATCCAATTCTTGTTCATTCTTCTCATATCTGTCTCCACGTTTTGGCGTAATGTGTCCTTTGGTCTTCTTCTCCTCCTTTGGCCTTCAAAATTCCATGTGAGGACTTGCCTTGTGACACAGTTCGGTGCTTTCCTCAATGTGTGTCCTATCCAATTCCAGTGCATCTTCCTGATTTCTTCCTCTGCTGAGATCTGGTTTGTTCTCTCCCACAGTCGGTTGTTGCTAATAGTGTCTGTTCAACGGATGCGAAGTATTTTGCGTAGGCAACAGTTAACAAACACTTGTATCTTGTGGATGATGGGTGTGGTAGTTCTCGAGGTTTCCGTTCGATACAGTAGAACTGTCTTGATATTTGTATTGAAAATCCTGACCTTGATGTTGGTTGACAGCTGTTTTGAGTTCCATATGTTCTTCAGTTGTAAATATGCTGTTGTTGCTTTTCTGATCCGTGCCTTCACATCTGCATGAGATCCACCGTGTTCATCAATGACGCTGACCACATATGTAAAGGTTTTTACATATACCAAAGCTTCTCTGTCAAGTGGGATTCGATTGTTCCACGTCGTGTTGTATCTGGGGCTACTGCCGGTCCCAAGCCCGGATAAAGGAGGAGGGTTGGGCATGGGGTTAGCGACTCCATTCCGTAGAAAACTAACTCGCTAAAAAACGCTGACCGAAAAATAATTCAGACCATTTACATCTTTTTATTGGGTCATAAAAGATTAATTTTATGACAGGGATATAGATAATTATATTAAATAATTCAAATCACTTGTATTTTGTCCCTATAAGTCATTTTGAAGTCGTATGTTGCATATGGATATTTTTATAGGATTAACTGTCTTAAATTAGATTTCTGTATTCAATTTTGAGATTTTCTTTATTCATATTTCACATTTTGGTGAAATTCAACATAAGTATCAAATGATTGATGGTAAAATACTACCAAATTATATCCAGTGAAACCTAAGATTTACCTACTTACTTCTGTTACTCCTCGTGGAGCATAGGCCACTCATGAAATCTAAAATTTCATTAAAGATTCTAAAAATGACTAGTAGAAGTGTTCAGTGTTTACAAGTTTTATGACTGCTTAATCAAATAATTTTTTCACTATATAGTAAAACTGAGGAGGTTGAAAAATTTAAACGTCTTTGAAATATACTTTAGTTGTAGAGTTTAAATTTTGGCTATCACGCATTTGTTTAAATACGGTCTTACACTGATCTTCGTAATAAGATTTAAATCACAGTTCAATCTTCAGTAATAAATTAACATATACCAAATCAAGATATAAATAATAATAATAATAGTTGCTTTCTATTCACCATTGTTTAGTTATTGTAAAGAATTCCCAAAATAAATATACCTTATTACCATAAATTCTACTTTAACATACATTTTCTTTGCAATAATTCAAAAATGCAACCTAAAACCATTTATCTGTTATTCATCTTCAACCGTAAAGGTTTCGACATTTGTGCGCCACATTAAATGTTTAATAGACATGATACTCAATATATTTTTCAAATTGTTTTCTGAAAGAATAAACATGAGGGGAGAGACGCCAATTACTATAGTATCCCTGTTTACATCTTAAACCATTTTTAACGTTATTATAAGGTTAGAGTTTTTTTTTACATAAGTGCATGAATATATTATACAGTTCATATACATAATTCATTCGTAAAAAACAGTCCAGAATAGGAAAATTTATTGTATTATCATTACAATCATAAAGCAAATGATCAAAGTTCAAGTAGACGACCTGACAAAAATTAAAAACGAATTTCAATACCGTTGATGACATCAAATCTGTACTTTTATGACGGTAAATGACTGTTCATTGATGAACTGATTTGAAATTATATATAACACTATTCTTATTTCACATCAGTTATCAGCACAGATTTACGAATCGACTTATTGCTAACTACTAGTCACATAACAGTTATTATAAAACGAATATGTGTATACAAATCAGTCTTATTTGGTAAGATTTATTTAAAAGTTTAACATATTTCAAGAGATTAAGGGAAAGTTAAATCATCTTCATTTTCCATAATATGCTGCTCGTCATTGGCACTCACTGTGAAACTACGTGATACAGAATGAAATTTAAAAATTGCACTAATAAATAAGGATGGATTTGCCATGTACATAGACAGTTCATTTAATGATGAACATGAGCACTGTCTTTAATCACGTACTATCATCATGAATATCATTGTTTTCATCGAAATAGATATCTGTCATGTCGTTATGTCTAAATTTTCTAAACATCTTAGTTTGCAACTTCCTATTAGTCTAAATATTCATTCAAATTCTGTTCTTAACTTCTTATAAAATATTAAGTTAACTAGTCATATTATAAAAGTATCTACAACCTTTAATTTGTCTTGACTACAGTAATATCAGTCAAACAGTCATATTAATTCTAATTCTCTCCTTCTGATGATCAATTTATATAATTAAAAAAAAACTATTTCTCTTTTACAATTGTCGTGTGTGTGTGTATTTTTGGAATCAGTAATGATTGAATCCTTAAATAATAATACCTTAAATATAACAAATAAGTTTTAAAAATATTTTGACTTTCCCATTTCATAATATTTATGCTCATTACATATGTTTTATGATGATAAAGAAGATTTGTAGCTTAGGTGAATGATCCATCACTACATAAGTTTTATTGTTTTTATAACTATCTTAACATTTCACGGATTGAAATCACGAGTCAATTCAAGCTAGACCACCATTGAAAACCTGGAGGCACTGGATGGCCGTTTCGTCCTAGTATGGGACTCCTCAGCAGTGCGCATCCACGACTCCGCACCCCACGAGATTCGAATTCTTATTGTTACATTTTATTCGTTTATAGAAATTCCACTTCACAGTAGAGAAATTTATTACTTTGATAAAGAAATAAAATATTTTTAATACTTGAGGTCATGAGTCAATTGAAGCTAGACCACCATGGAAGACCTGGAAGCACTGAACAGAAAGTTAAGGGTTTGCGCGCGAGACTGATAAGTCCTTAGTTTGAATCTCGAGAGGTGAGGTTGTGGGTGTGCACTGCTGAGGAGTTCCACAATAGAACGAAACGGCCGTCCACAACTTCCAGGTCTTCCATGATGGTCTAGCTTTAATTGATTCATGATCTATACTATTGCAATTACTATAATATCCACAAAAACTCCTGATACAAATAAAATATCGATGTTAGAAATTTGTTTAGATGAAAACAATAATTATTATGTATAACATAAAGTACGGGTTTTTGATATTTTACCTAGATAATTATGATCATTTTTGTATTCAATAGTAGTTTAATAGACAGTTTTAGTTATTTTTTCTTTGAAAAAGAAATACAGCATTTTAACTAGAAAACTTTTGTGATCGAATTGAAGGAAATTTCATTTGTGCAAACATTGAGATAACATTATTGTAATAAATATATGTGGTTGAATGATTTGAGATTTATTAATCAATAGGCTATTGTGTTTGTATATGGTATTATTATACATGATAGGTTTCAACTTCTGTCCAACTTACTTTAATTCACTACGAAATGGATTGGTTTATTCTGTCGTTGATATTTTGACTGAAATTTGGTTAGCCTTAGTTGGCATATGTATATCCTATGCGTCTGGTCTCGGTATAGGCCATTATGACAATTTAATATTGAACAGATAGAATGTGGCTAGCAGTGGAATCCAGAACGCGGATTTTGTCATATTTAGGACTTATCATCTGAATGCACCTGCATTATAACGGCTTTATCGAAAAAATCCGTACAGGATGGGCATATACTAACCAAGACTAGTCAAAGTTCAGTCAAAATATCAACACCAGGATAATCCAAACCATTTGGAATTGAACTCAAACTCATACCTGTTGCACAAGTGAATAACCATATAGACTCAGTAGTTAAGTAGATAACAGTGGCTTTTGAAGAGAACAATAGTGGGCTTGGTTTTAAGAGTGAACATCAGATTCGGGATGCAGGCGCATCCAGCCAACGAATCCCAAATAAAACGAAACACGCGTCTTGGATTTCACTGCTAACCACATTCCATCTATTCTTTACTGATCTTTAACAATGTTTTACAGGTATCTGTCTGAATATTTGTCACGTAATGAATTATTTACAGTCAATCTAAAAGATCATTTGGAGAAGAATACATGTTTGTTTTGAGTAAACATATTCACTCGTTGGTAACTTGATAACTTGAAATCTAGTAAATGAGACAGGAACCAGATATTTACTTTCTTTGAAACTTGTTTACTAAAGATATATTCCAAATGTAATTATTAAACTGTTCGAATCCTGAATGTTTGCTCTTTACCTATGATTTTTATTATTTTCTGATGGTGCAGAAATTGCATAGAAATCGTTGACTCACTGACTATTATTATTTTTAACAAAACCGTTCAGCAGTACAAAAATAATTCTCTTTGTTATCGTCCGCTACGAATACGCAGTTATTGTTAATAACTGAATGACTGATGAACAAAAATGCGCAGAAATTCTAAGAAACGTAAAACTATTCAAAGTTATGTCTAGTAAAGTTGTTTGTCTAATTTGTGTAAAACTGCGTAATTTTATTCAAAGTTGAGTTGAACTGAGAAAAC